TAGGGAGGAGGGTCCAGCTCTGTTCCCTCCCTCGCCCCCCAGAGCTGGGCCTGTGGCAGGAGGGGAGAGAAGGCGGAAACACACGCAGGCCACACTGGGCTCTGAGCGCCTACCATCGATCACCAGTTTGGTGCCACCGACATTTATAGACTCAATCTGCTCTTTTTGAAGCTAAAAGACAAGATGAGGTGGGAAAGTTGGGGAGTTGCCTCTGCCTTGTGACTGAGCCCGTGAAGGTGGGGGCTGCAGAACTCCAGCTCAGAGGAGGGCTCCCAAGGGGCACAGGAAGAGCGAGCTCCGGGGCCCACCTCGGCCACCATCTCCCTGGGGGAGGCTCTGTCTTGGGGCTGGCCCTCAGCCCCTCATCTGTAAGGTGAGGGCAGCCCCCGTGCGTGCTCCGCAGCATGAAACCAGCCCCTGGGGGGAATGGTACAAGCGCTTACACAGAGGAGGGATTCAAAGCGTGTTGGATTGTTTCCTTGCTCTGGAAGTCTCTTCTCTGTCTGATGGACAGCGACACTGTCCGTGCCCTGGCGAGGGGCGAGGGGTGACGCCTAGAAGGAGCTGGTCTGCAGTGAGACCTGCCATGCGCCAGGGCCAGGCAAAGCCTTGCACCCACTCAGTCCCTGCAGCAACGCCTGGAGGTGGCTTGCACCGACCGACACTGTTTGTTCTCGCTGCAGCTGTCTTGTTTACCAGGTAATTCAATCACAAGGGCACAGCCATTCAAACAGAAAGGAACTTCCCTGTCAGTCCTGATTCCATCTCCCTGTCCCCAGAGGCAACCGCGTCTCCAGTCGCGTGTATGTCTAGAAATAATCTGTGCTTATTGACATCGGCACAGATGTGTGAGTATATAAACCTTGACCTGAGCCCTGGCCAGTTTGGCTCAGTGGATAGAGCATCGGCCTGCGGACTGAAGGGTCCTGGGTTTGATTATGATCAAGGGCACATGCCTGGGTTGCAGGCTCAATCCCCAGTGGGGGTGTGCAGGAGGCAGCCAATCAATGACCCTCTCTCATCATTGATGTTTCTCTCTCTCTCTCTCTCCCCCTTCCTCTCTGATATCAATAAAAATATTTTAAAAAATAACTAAATACATAAATATTGACCCAAGCTTTTTTTTTTGAACAAACAGGAGGATATCAAGCACTATTTCTGCACCTTAGAAAATTTTCAGTGTAACACATTTTGAGTTACCTAATTCTTTTGAACTTCATTGTGTGAATACATCACCATTTTTTATAAAGTCTCCCACTGATGAGCATTTAGGTTATTTCCTTGTTGTGTTATCAAAACAGTGCTGCAAATACGTACAACATCTGAGCATGAGGATGTGCTGATAGATGCTGCTGACGTAGGCACTGGCAATGTCAGCCCTGACAGGTGAAGGAAGGGGGCTCAGGGAGGGGTGTTAACCTGCCCACGTCACAGGGCTAAAGTGGCAGAACTGGCTCTCAGTCCCATGGATGAAAGACGCAGCTGGGTGTAGCCAGACCCTCCCGGTGCAGGCGAAGAGCCCTAATGAGCACACGGCTGAGGGGCGGGCGGGCAGAGCTCTGTGTAGCTCCAGGCACCGCATGTAAGGGGCTCACCTTCTCGGCGCCAGACATGCCGTGGGAGGCCACGTGGAAGACACAGTCCACCCCTTCGAAGGCACGGAGCAGGGCTTCCTCATCTCGGACGTCAGCCTGAAACGGGAGGAAGAAGTGGGGTCGGGGTTTGAGTCCGAGGCAGAGGTACAGCTGTGCACCTCGCCCGGTCCCAGAGCTGGCCCGACCCCAGCCAGGCCGAGCACCTGTAGGGCCCGAGGGCTGGGGGCAGGATTTACACGACTTCATAGGAGGTCGCCACCACACCAGCCCAGCTGTCACAGCGGCTGTGCCGGGCACTGCCTCGCCAAGCCCCACGAGAGCCTGTGGGGCAGAGCCTGTAGGGCCCCTTCCTATGGACGAGGACATGAGGCCCAGCGGTGCAGAGCCTGTGGCCATGGCTGTCCAGCTGGGAAGCCCCGGGTAGAGCTGGAGCTTGAACAGCCCGGGCTCTCCTTCAACATCACGCTACTGGTTTTGCCTCAGATATTGTCTCCAGACCTCCACCCCCAGCCCGGACTGCCCGCCCCCCCCAGACCCTCATCCCTGCACCTGGATGAACTCAGTCCCTGGGACCAGCTCCCACTGGGGTCTGCGGAGGTCAAGCAGGATGACAGAAGTGCCGCTCTTGGCCAGGCTGGAGCCGAGGCTAAAGCCCAGGTAGCCTCCTCCTCCAGTCACCAGAACCTTCTGTCTCGGGGCCTGCACAGGTGTGGACTGAGTCTTCTGCTGCAATGCTGGTGATGGGGCTGTCGTGGGCTCACTGGGTTTGGGACCAGTTCCAGACTCATGTCTGATATCAGGCCCTACCCCAGGCCAAGGTACTGACCCAGCTCCTGGCCCAGGCCCCAGACCTGAAGCAGCACCAGGTCCCGGCCCAGGTCCCGAGGCAGCACGAGGTCCTGAGGCAGCGCCAGGTCCAGGAGCAGCACCAGGTCCCGGAGCAGCACCAGGTCCTGAGACAGCACGAGGTCCTGAGGCAGCGCCAGGTCCCGGAGCAGCACCAGATCCTGGAGCAGCACCAGATCTCAGAGCAGCACCAGGTCCCGGAGCAGCACCAGGTCCTGGCCCAGGTCCCAGAGCAGCACCAGGTCCTGGCCCAGGTCCCAGAGCAGCACCAGGTCCTGGCCCAGGTCCCAGAGCAGCACCAGGTCCTGGCCCAGGTCCCAGAGCAGCACCAGGTCCTGGCCCAGGCCCCAGAGCAGCACCAGGCCCTGGAGTAGCACCAGGTCTCGGCCCAGGTCCTGAAGCAGCACCAGGTCCCGGAGCAGCACCAGGTCCCGGAGCAGTACCAGGTCTTGGCCCAGGTCCCGGATCAGCACCAGGTCCCGAAGCAGCACCAGGTCCCGGAGCAGCACCAGGTCCCGGAGCAGTACCAGGTCTCGGCCCAGATCTCGGAGCAGCACCAGGTCCCGAAACAGCACCAGGTCCCGAAGCAGCACTAAGTCCTGGCCCAGGCCCCAGAGCAGCACCAGGCCCTGGAGCAGCACCAGGTCCCGGAGCAGCACCAGGTCCTAGAGGAGCACCAGAGCCTGGAGTAGGTCTGGACACAGCACCAGGCCCAGGTCCAGGATCTGAAACTGCACCAGACCCCAGACCAGGCCCTGACGCAGACCCCAGGCCTGAGATCCCTCCCGAGGCCTGGCAGACAGGGCAGCTCTTCTCCTTCTGGCCTGCAGCTTGGCAGGCTTCTGGGGAGGAGCCTGCTGCGTTGGGCTTCATCCTTTACGGAGCCATGTGGACCGACCAGGATCTGTCTGCCCGTAGGGAAAAATAAAAGACCCACCCCCATGTTCCAGATTCGTCTCAAGTCACATGGATTATCACACCCATGGGGCTAAGGAGAACTCCTGGGGGGAATGAGAGGCCCTCTGGGTTTGTAGGAAGCCTGTCCTATTTAGAATCTTGAGAACTTCCCAGTGGCCGTTGCCTTACTCAAAGACTCTAAGACAGAGGTTCTCAACCTGCGGGTCGCGACCCCTTTGGGAGTTGAACGACCCTTTCACAGGGGTCGCTTAAGACCATCAGAAAACACATATATAATTACAGATTGTTTTTGTGATTAATCACTATGCTTTAATTACGTTCAATTTGTCACAATGAAAATACATCCTGCATATCAGATATTTACATTACGAATCATAACAGTAGCAACATTACAGTTATGAAGTAGCCATGAAAATATGGTTGGGGGTCACCACAACATGAGGAACTGTATTAAAGGGTCGCGGCATTAGGAAGGTTGAGAACCACTGCTCTAAGACAACGCAGTCAGGCCTTGGGTTTTACAGCTGGGGAAACTGAGGCCCAAAGTCACACTGCATGGCTGAGCTTTACACCGAGTATTTGTGACTTCTCTACCAGCTCCTAAAACCCCAGCTCCCATGTAGCACCTGAGGAAGACAGATCAAATCGCATCAACGGGAACCTCACCAGGTTGGGGGGTGACTGCTTTCTGACTGCGGAGATACAGAGGGCTTCCTGGAGGAGGAGGAAGACAGGGGGGAGAGGAGGAGGATAGGAGGAGGGGAGGAGGAGAAAACAAGGAAGGGGAGGAGGAGGAGGGAGAAAAGAAGGAGGGGGAGGAGGAAAGGAGGAGGGGAGGGGGAGGAGGGGAG